TACTTCCAGCATTACATAAATGTACGGAAATGTTTTGTATCATATCAATGACAGGCAATGAGGAAACATCAGAATTATGAATATACAGTAGATCACAAAAACGGGGAACTGTTAGATTGAAACTAGGCATGTGTTACTGGTGATTGTATAACACATTGTCTCGGGTAGCTTGGTTTGCTCTAGTCAACAGTGTTGGCAAGGCACCCATTCTGCCTGCTTGATAAATGGAAGAACAATACATGTGAATATATTATAGCTTTAAGGTACTGGATGGACTTTACAGACTATTGTGTTGTATCCAGCTTTGAATTTATACTTGGCAGACTGAGCTGAAAGTATGGATTGCATACTTTCAGGCATAACATATGCAATATTAATTACATGGAAAGTGCTGGATAGGTTTTTAAACCATATTCAATAATAATATATCTCTACAGAACAGCTCCTATTTAGCAGAAGGATTAAAGAAGTTTCATATGAGCCATATGAATGGAAAGAGGATCTGTAGGTCATATTCTGCATTCATTTGCTCCCATGCAAGATCTGCAGAGTTAACAGTGTCACATAACACTGATGGAAATTTGGTTTGGGTTTTGCATTTAAAATTTAGAAATGCTTGCAGTCAGTATGTAGGTATGTTGTCATCTTATGTCTGATTATAATATAAGATCAATAGAAATGGTGTGTTTTAGCACAGTTTCAAAACACGGTTAGCATGTTTTACCATTTGTTTAAAGAATTTTCCAAATGCACTTAAAAGTTTGCTCTTCTCTTCATTAAGATACTTTCCAGTATACTAATGGAGACTCTGTGTGTGCCTTTGAGAAAGAAGAAGAAGAAGGCAACGTTTGTAACAAGTGTATTTAGACTGTCAACCCAATGTTGACTTTTGGTTTTTTATTGCAAATATAAAATGTTTTATGCAAGCTTATAAAAACACTGTATAAATATCCCACCATGAATTATTATCACACATAATGAGACAAAGAGACCTTTAGCTTGAAAGATGGGACAAACTTTACAGCCTATATTGTGTCACAGATCTTATGGATTACTATAAGCTAGTATTGATATGGAATTAATTGACTGTTAGCACTACGTCTAGTGGAATAGTATTCAAAGACCACATGTGTGCCTCATTTGTAAGATAGTCTAGAAATATTACTGAATATATGGTCCATGACACAAATGGTTTATAGTGTACAATGAGAAGTATTACAGGAGATGTTAAATATAGCTAGGTTACGTATGGTTTTGAGTATAACACTTATGATTCCTCATTTATAAATGCCCTTCAGCTATACCTAGATGCACTTTGACATGACACATTTGCTTGTTTAGGAATTAAAAATCAGCAGAATAAAAGTTTGTGCTGAGTAACATAAATGATTCACCTCTACCTTTTGCAGTTTTAAACTTTGCTGGTAATTAGGGCCTTGGCTGCAGCTAAATGGCACTTCCAAAGGGATTGAGTTTGAAAAAGGGAAAACACTTTTGGGCTCCTAAGAAATTCTCATGCCGCAGTATCTGCTAAGTCCCTGTGTCTTTCCACTGCAGTGAGCACCACACCATGATCCCACCACCACACATTTCTTGGGACACTGGGGGAGGAGGGTCTGAACAGTAGCTTTGCCTGACTCAGCGTAAGGGGCTGCTGAGAAGGCATCCTTTCCCTGGACAAGCAATAATAAACTCATAATTGTGTTAAAACAACATACTGGTCTAATTTCCAGCTGGCAGATGGGTAGCTTTGGTGTCAGAACTCCACTTTCCTAAAAAGTGGCCATGAGTGGGGATTACTCCCAACACGGAGGACGTGCCCAAAGACTTTCTGAGCCAGAGGATATGAACCTGGGAAAGCACACGTTTAAATAGTTGCACAGCCCACTGAAGGGAAGTGCAGCTTCACAGACAAATTTCAGCCTTAAAACGATCCTTGGAGTGCTAAGGCAGACTCAGCGGTTGCCCACGGTAAAAGAAGGTACAAGGATGGGTACAGGCTGTCTGCCTCACGGGGTGGAAAAAGGGTCTACTGCCTCGGCCTCACTTGCCGATGGTTTCATGCCCAGGGATCCCCAGGGGCGTAGGCTGCGCGGGGCAGGGCTGTCTTGGCACCCGCT